TCAGCACCAGCTCGTCCGATCGCCCAATCGCATTAACACAGAGTTGTCACCCCACTTGGTCCGAGCATGCAAGCCAGGTTCGCCCGTGCGCCACAGCCCGTCACAGCCCGCACGTCAACCCCTCATACTCAGCATCAGCTCGTCAGATCGCTCAACCCTCTCGTCTACTCACCCTCCAACTTGCTCGTTAGCCGATCCTCACTGACCACGCTAACCTCGAAATTCATAGAGAGCCAACTTGTTGCACTTGCGAAATTTATAGCATGCATATCTGCGGGAGAGATGCGGGATTAGGCCTAAGTGGAAGGAAGGAGAAGAAAGGGAGTGCCTACGTCTGCATGGCCAGGCCGCGGCGTGGGGGATGTAGCCACACTCCACACATCGATCCGGTCATGCAATCGGTTAGGCCAGTTAAAACAAAGGACGAAGTATGCGCGATGAAGAGGAAGAAGGCGGGGAAAACACAAGAGAATCAAGAAGAAGAGAAGTATAGTTCCAATCGCGCCCGCCAAAAATTACAGTCACACACAAGATTAAGGGCGCGGTCCAATAAGAGCCTAGCTCTTGCCGCAGCAAGACGTGCACAAGCAAGAAGCGCGGTGCAACAAGAATTTCAAGGCTTCTAAATTCCTATCTTAATCTTAATTACGAAAAGTAATTCCGACAACAGACAAACAATTGTGAGAGCCCGTGGGGGCTCGACATCAGTTAAAATTTTGAAAATTTATATTCCCGCACGCTGATCGCGCCCAAAGTTCTCATTCCCACAGCAGAACAAGAAAGAAGCTATGACAACCATTATTCATCACGGTCGCTAAGGCCCGCCCACTCAACCGTCTGCGCGGGGTTTTTCCGGCCCTGGTTCGCAAACCCGAAAACGAAAGAAGTGAGGGCATCCATGCAACTAGCCCGGCTTACCCATTTCCATGCGCTTCACCCGACCATCCCGTCCCATCTCCCGAAGCAGCTTCGCGTAGAAAGTTGCGCGGTTATAGAAAACAGTTCGTCACATATGTGACACCTAGGGGGTTCCAATCTTGAGCGAGCTCCTGCTTGCTCATTCATCACTCACCGATCCATTGAAGAAGCCGATGATCGACGTGGAGCTTGCACGAGCCACTTACAGTGAGATAAGAGTATGGATGTCATTCAACGTGGCACTCGTGAACTCTGAACTCAGAGGTTGTTGGGAAAGGGCAATTGAATAACTGGCGGGGGAGGTGGTGGATGGATTTGGGGAAGGGGAGGCATGAAGCGGCGGAGCTCACAATCATCATCGGGGACTTGCGTGTAGTGAATCGTTCGGTGGATTCTGGGGAATCGCTGCTCTTTATGGGGAGGGAGGTGAGGTAATCGGGGTAAAGGGTGCAAAGGGTGCGGGGGATCGCGGCGCGGAAGTCCTCATAGTCCTCGCAGGAGGGGATCGCCCCCGAGATCATGCAATAAAGCTTTGTATTATTAAACTCTTGCCACGCGACACTGAAGAGAAGGACGTGGAGGGGGAAGGAAGCAGCAAGGGAGCCAGTCGTGGTGTGTGGGAAGATAGTGATTAGAAGACGGGTGGAGTAGCGATGGTGAAAAAGCGAAGGTGGGAACGGGAACCAGCTAGAGGGAAACGGTGGTCGGCCTAGGAGCTGCTTGACTGTGAGGAAATCACGGGGACGGAGAGATAATGACCGGGGACGAAGCTCGAGCGCCAGCATCTCCACGTAAGCGAACGTTGGATCGCGAAGATGAAGGGGATTGAGCCGACGCTTGATCTCTTCGGCTGCGTCGGCTTCTCGATCCCTCTGCGGCTGCGACTCCATTTCCCTCCGACTCCTCATGGGGCAGCTCCGGATTGCGCGCCGGATCGTCCTGCATCAGTTGCCCTTCCGATTCTACAATCGGCCTCTTTCCCTCCACCCTTTCCCTTCTCCTCTGCTCGGTGATCTCGACCTCCTCCCTGCTCAGCTCAGCGAGTCAGTGGGTCCAGCTGATTCGCCCGATCCGCTCTCTTCTGACTCCTCTTCTTTCAGTCTCGCCTCCTACGACCTTGGCTCCTCCGATCTCTCTTTTTCCTCCTCCGACTCGCGATAGTCGGGATCGTCGGATCTTTCCCCCGCGCTGTCGTCCTCTTCCTCCCCCAAGTCCTCTCTCTCTTCTTCTTCTTCTCCGTCCATCGGTCCGCCCAAGTCCACCCTTCGGACGATCGGGTCCCACAGCGTGAGATCGGTAACGTCGACCACAAGGTAGAGGCCCGTGGAAGGATAATCGCAGTTATCCTCGTCCAGCTCCGTACATGTGGGTCACACCAGGTGCGCCGCTAGCGTACGGGTGAGCATGGTCGTCTTCCGCTTCTCGTTGCAGCGCAACAGAATATCGAGAGGCAGATAGTCCACCAGCTCCGTCAGGAACACGAGCAGCTCGTCCGTGATTCCGCCTCGATGACCCTCTCTCACCTTCCCGAACAGTATCCCCAACAGTTCACCCTTCGTATCCATCCGCCAGGCCTACGCGATCAACAATTCCACCTCGTTGTGCGAGATCTCATCTTCCTCGTCCTTATTCGCCGGCTCCGCCAAGTGAAACACCACCTCAAGGAGGCAGAAGCTAAGTGCAGCGTAGGCGTGCCACCACTCTGTCCACTTGGCGTCCTCCAAGATCGGCACGTTGAACTCCCTGATTCAAAAAGACAAAGGGGAGTCGATGGCAGACTGCCAGAAGGTGGGGAGATCGGACGGGAGATTGAAGAGAAAGAGGCGGTGACGGTTCATTGAGGCGGGGCGAAGGGAAGAAGCTCCGGGAGGATGACCTCCGGCGCGCTGGAAGAGACTCGAAGCTAGATGTCAACATCGTTGGCGGTGACAATCCGTTCGTTTGGCCAAGCTAGTAATGGAACCCACGCGGTCGTGATCTCCGTCGCCTAGCTTTGCAACTGTCGAAAAACGTCCAAGTGTACCGCCAGATGCAGCGTGGTGATGTCATCGGTGAAGGCGACGATGACGGACACGTGGCTTACGTTGGGCGGGGACGGGCGTTGGAAGGCCGATATCTCGGCCAATACGCTTGTTGCTCCGGCCTGCACGAATCGGAACTATGCTGCTGCGTGGATGGCCGCCGTACTCAAGAAGGCTGCAAATCGAAGCAGATCGGGACTTAGTCGCGGTCGCCGCACTTGCCGGATCGCCGTTATGCGGCCCCTGGGTCTCATCAGACGCTCGCTGATAACCTGTTCGGTCGAAAAGCTCATGGCGATGGAGGCGAAGGTAGAGACGAAGCCTGAGAGGAAAAAGAGGACTCAAGATCGTCGTCGTCCTCTTCATGATCGAGGGACGATGAAGATGATGAGAGAGGAGAGGAAGTGGGGAGAGGACGAAGGTAGGACACATGTCGAATGATCGAGCGAGCCGATTGACTTCCCGACACCTCCGGCGCGAGTCGCACCGTGTTCACCCCGCTCGGACCAAGATTGACTACTTGGAATCGCCCGAAGAATCGTGGCGCTAGCTTGCCTTGACGAGGACATTTCCTCACCTGCACTATATCCCCTAATTTATATTGGGGCCGAGGCCCCGCGTCTTCATTCCCAGCCTCGTAGCTTCGGACCTGTCGTCCATGGACCATTTCGGTCATTCGCTGTCTTTTTCGGGCTAACCGGGGAAGGGCCTTTTCCATCAATTCCAGATGGCGTTGGGCCTTATCCTTAACCGTCGCTCTAGTGGCCCGTCGCGGAAGGGTTGTTTCATCATTTAGGCTCCGTGGGGCTACACAAGGCAAACTATTGGTCCGTAATTGGAAGGGGGTCAGGCCGGTGGACTCATGGGGTGTCCCACAGTGAATAGCTAATATATGGTCCACAGTATCGGGCCAAGGCCTCGTATCTCTCTCGCCGCGATACTACGCCGCAATGCCGTCTTGATTACTCGGTTC